ACGCCCCAGTATAGTGACGGGGACACTATACTGTAAAAAGCACCATCCTTCGGATGAAATGTTAAGCCGAGGTCCTGACTCTCTGTGGTCATTAAAAATCCCAGGATGTCCTTCGAAAAAGAGAAAGGGTATAACCCCGGCATCCTGGCCAAATTTGCCCATTGGCCTCTGACCATCATGGCCTCCTAATCATCCCCATACACTGATTGGCTTCATCACTCTTCTCTCCACCAATAAGCTGGTGTGTGGTGGGCGTTCTGACGCAATATGGGTGCCGTCCTATCATCCAGGTGGATGCTGCACACTGGTGGTGGTTGAGGAGATTTCGCCAGAGAATTTTGAACGCAGGTGCTGAGGGGGTGCTAGATCATTGACAGGGGGAGCTGGGCAATTAATAGTAAATATAACCAAAATAGGTTATTTTTATTTTCTTTATATGAATAATAAAATAAACATAAGGAAAACTCACCCACTCGATTTTGTAAGATTTTCTAATTATGTAGTCCATATGAAAAGGTGCATTTCTATTAAAGGCACGTCCATGGCTGCGTTCAGCCCCGACAAAAACGGTGCAAAAGTTCCAGGAAACATGTCGTTCAAACCGGAAACCGTAGCAAAACGGTTTGAGCTTGAACTTGCCCCGTGTGGAGATAGCGAGTCAGCGTCGGAATTCGGCAACTTCAGCTTTGCACCCGACGCTGACTCAGAAAGCACTAGTTTATTAATAAATAATTAAAATGTCTATGGTTTAGTATATTATTATATTAATCAATTTAATATAACGTGCGACTAGTTGACTAGAAAAATCTTTAGTTGGGGGCAGTCCTATACTTAGCACAAGAAAGCGCTCCATTTTAAAAATAAAATGCTATAATGACATTACGAAAAGTGCGACAGCTGCAAATCACGTCGTTATTGCATTGCACGAGTTATACATGAGTAAGGAGTCAAATGTTTTTTTTTTTATTATTATTTAGTTTCTTTTTTATTATCAGCTTATTTATTAAATACAATTGGCTACATCATGATTCCAGGAAAAAAATCTGTGGGGGTGCTATGGGGGTGCTTTTGTCTTCTCTTGGGGGTGCTGAAGCACCTGCTAGCCCCTCCCTAGCGCCGCCCATGTAAATTTAACTAATTGTATATACATATATGAAAACATGTCAAAAGATAAATAATGTAACTGTCACTTGGACTTTTATCTGACATTTACGTCATATCGTGCGCGCATGCGCATGCCACCCGGCAGTGAATCTCGCTTATTCACATAGGTGAATAACATCAAAACAGACACAGAGCGTCCCGATATCAGAGATCAGAAATGGGCAAAGGCGGCGGAACGTTTGAGAGACTTTTGGGTATGTGTTATATTTCATGTTTTCAGTGTTTATTTCGACTGACAGACCGATGTATCGCTGACACATCGATAAAGTGTGTCTGCTAATGCTAATGCTAGCACAGCTTGAACAGTGACGGGAACGTTAGCATTTAGCATTATTGTCTTTATTTTGCCCACCGGAGCTTCAACACACCAGTGCCATGAACTTAAACATGACATTGCGAACATCTTTTTTCAGGTAAACCGTATGGTGTTGTAACTGTAGTTGACAAATCCATTATTTTGCGTAAGCTAAGTTAGTTAGCACCACATCTGAGCTAACGCTATTCTCGGGCCTCTTTTTCACAAGCTACGTATAGTATAAGCAGGGTTTAAAATAACAAATCATATATGCGTTTCTCATAGTGTGTACTTTGTGCTTAGTGTGTATGAAGTAGTTGACTTTGTCTTCACCAAATCTCGCTGTAAAGCAGGCAATTATAAGAGGCGTGTAAACATTGTCATGGCACTTCATATCAATATTTATGTTTACAGTTGCTTATACTTTTTGGAAAAGTGTAATTTAAGGATTTTGAAGGTATTCCCGTTATTCAAGGTTGACTCTTCCTGTTTGCTCGTGTAATCGAGTGCTTCTGTATAAAGAGAGAGAGGATATTTTGCCCATTTTTATTTAGGTTCACCACATAACCGTAACTTCCTGTTACTTACACACACACACACACACACATATATGGGTTGCATATGGGTTGTAATTTCTATTCTTGATTTTTGGGATTGTGTGGTTTACTGGACAATATGTAAAATATTCATCATACGTAGGGCTGCACGATAAATCGAAATGGAATCGAAATCGCGATTCGACAGAAGCTGCGATTGTCATGCATATCTTTCAGTGAAGCACGGTTCTGTGATCAGCAGTAAATCTCCACCCAAAGGCCAGAGGGCGCTCTCATGCGGAAACGCCAAATACGCCTCGCAGCAGAAACCCAGAAAATGCCTATCGCTGCAGCTGAATAAACAGAAGATTCAACTGCTTTCAGTGATTCAACGTTACTAATAAACACACGATTATGACAATATATGGTTTATCGGAGTTATTATTATTATTATTATTATTTTTTTTTATTAAAATAAAGTATATTTATAATGCAATGCCTTTATCACCACTTAGAATACTATGAAATATGTTGCGTGCCTTATTCTGTGTAAGAAGCCACGTCATTTCACAGAAGGATTTATTTCAAACACTCGACTGACATTATGAAGTGAGTTTGGAGTAAAAATATGTTAAGTGTGGTATTTTCACATGCTTTCAGATGGAGCAACATTTACTTCACAGAGCCGTAGTTCGCTGAGAAGCTATGCAAACAGCTGTCATTATCGCGAACGATTTCTTCCATTTCATAATCGTCTGCGATGTTTTTTTGTTTTTTTTTTTGGCGTAACTTGTCAGTGAACTACGGCTCTGTGTAGTAAATGCTGCTCCATCTGAAAGCACGTTATGATGATTTACTGCTGATTACAGAACCGGCATTACTAACAAAATGCGCATGACAGTCGCATTCGATTAATCATGCAGCCCTATCATACAGTACTATATTTTATTTATGTTATATTAAATTATGTAACAGAGTATTGTGATAATTTTAATGTGAGTTATTGGACATCGAAATTAATTAATAATTAGATTTTTTCGTTTTGTAAATTTATGACTAATATATAATATGTATTATGTAATGTAAGTAATATAGGTTGGTACATGTTTATTTATTGCTCTGAATTATATTGGTGCCTATAAATTATGATAATTAAATATGATTCTTTCTTGTGTTCATTTAGTGGAAAACATGACTTGCTTATGTAGAATTTTCTATTTATTTTTGGTATCAGTATGTACCAGTGAAGAGAGATATATTTTACTATACCGTCAAACCTGAACATGGTCTTTTCTGCTTCCTTTTCTCACGTTTTTAGTAAACAGACCTTTAACTAATTGATTCTGATAACACTTGACAATAAAACGTGCTCTTTCAATCTTTCACAGATAAGGCTACCAGTCAGCTGCTGCTGGAGACAGACTGGGAGTCCATTTTGCAGATATGTGACCTCATTCGGCAAGGCGATACGCAGTAAGATAAAACATTTTCTGATGTGATTGCATGTCACTGGAAGAGCAGGAATCATGCGTTGTGATAAATATGGCTTTGACTTTCTTATATACTGTTTTGTTATTTCCCGCCACCAGGGCTAAATATGCAATTGGTGCCATCAAGAAAAAACTCAATGACAAAAATCCACATGTAGCGCTCTATGGTCTTGAGGTAAGTGTAGTTCATCTACAAATATAGAGCACTGTAGACCAGGGATTTTCAAACAACAATGAAAAGTAAAAATAAATAATAAAAGTAATATTAAGATTATTTTATTATTAAAATAATAAATAATGACTTAAATAATAAAAATAGATTAAAATCAATAAATGATGCAAAGTATATTTAAATAATTAAAATACTATAATTAATACATAATGATTAAATAATTAAATAGTGACTGTGACTATATATATAAATTTTTTGTATAATGCAAAGAAAACAACTCAAAGAAAACATCTTGGAGCGCTACTTGCTGAAAGGACCTCCGTTTAATAGTCCCAGAAGGTGCTCTTTGGTAGGGTTCAAAATTATATCTATAGAAACTATGGATCCAAGGCACTTCTTCCAGTTCCAAAATGTTAAAAAGCCTTTATTCAAACATGGCTCACTCTAAAAACATTAAAAATGACTAGAACACTGCACACTGATGCATTTCGGCCATCCAGCCTTCCTCAGAGTGTGTCAAGTACAAAATTAGTCACAGGTGTAGATATAATCAGTTGCTCAGTAGAAATGGGAGAAACCAAAATATATTTTTGTATAATGCCTCGATCAGTCAAGGTCATGTGTGTAAGCTAGCATTTGCTTGTCAACAGGTCCTGGAGTCAGTGGTGAAGAACTGTGGCCAGACGATTCATGATGAAGTGGCCAGTAAGCAGACAATGGAAGAGCTGAAGGAGCTGTTCAAGGTGATTCCTGCTTAACTCAACCTATAATATAGTGATATCTTTTGCTTTAAGAGTTGTCTTTGGCCCTGCCTTTATGGTCTTTCCAAGTGGGTTAGACCCAGTGACTCATGCTGCACTGTACTTCCTGATTGTGTCATCACGTCACATGTTTATTTGGCTGAGGGAAGTTCCAGCAGAAATCAGAAACAACACACTGTTCTTGGATTTCTTTTGCTGGTCTGTAGGGTTGGGTACTGTTCACATTTTAACCGTTACGGTACCGGTATCGGTACCTGAATTTCGGTGCCGGTACCCAACGGTACCTTTTTTTCTGTACTTTACTCTGTGTAATTACAAAAACATTTATTTCAGTGAAAAAATAAGTCCAAAAGTCTCAATTTCAACATTTTGAATAGGGCCCTACAATGGCAAACAAACTGAGGTTTACTGTTGAAATTAATACATGGAAGACAAATTGTGTGAATATTCCTTTAAAATTTTTTTTTAATTAAGTGACTCTCACAGCAGCTCTGGAGATTAGGTTTTTGTGTTCATGTCGTCATATAGTGAGACGCAGAGGCAGAAAATGACAGCGAGCCTCGTGCATGCTTCAGTATTTGTGTAGTGAACAAAACCACGGCGTTTCCGCCATTCATACATACAGAGGCAAGTGGAACATGCAGGATTCATATTTAAACCGTCTTTTTGCATTTTAATATTCACAGACACTAGTTCATATCGTGATTTGAATTAAGTGGCAGTGGCTAATTTTGATTTATTCGTCCAAAATTGACTAATTCCGTGGCATTCTGCGCTATAGAGTAAATACAATTTTTATGAATGGATTAAAATGCGCACGCCGCTTTTACAAGCTATTTAAAAGTGAAGGAAAGCGAGGAAAAGAGCGAACGCCCCGCCCCCCGCGGTGATACCGGTATTACCGGTGTTGTCACACATCGATTAACCAGTGGGAAAATTTCCTCACCGTCACAACCCTAGTGACATCACGTCACAGGGTCTCTCTTTCTCTGTCTGTAGTGTATGCGCCCAGATGCGTTCTCAGGTACCGAAATTTGGCACCGATTGATTTAACGTGAATCGGTACTCGGTAGTACCAATGCAATTCGGTCAGTACCCTTAAAAGTACCGAGTTCGGTAATCAACCCTACTGGTCTGTAAGCTTTAAAAATCACAGAAGGTTTTGAGGTGGTCAAAAAGACTTGAGATTTTTCTGTTCTCGTGTGTTTTTTTTATTTTATTTTTTTTTAAATAACCGGTTAGAGGACTTCTGTGTTCTGATTTTAAAGCCATCACTGACTGAATGTGACTTCTTTGTGTTCAGAAACAACCCGAACTGAACGTGAAGAACAAGATCCTTTATCTGATCCAGGCCTGGGCCCACGCCTTCCGCAACGAGCCCAAGTACAAAGTCATCCAGGACACCTATCAGATCCTGAAGGTGGAAGGTAAGATTTACGCAGGTTAACGCATTTCTAAAGGGCATCCATTTCTAAATTTGCAGAACCAGATTGATATGATGCATTATGCACTGCTGCAATTTATATACAAATACTTTCCAATGCATAGTGCAATTTAAAAGCAAAAATACCTGATTCATTTTCAAATGTCAGTAAAAATAAGATGACAAGCTGTGAAACTTTTTAAAAGAAAAACAATCACTTATACTCGTTCAGGTCATGTCTTCCCAGAATTCAAGGAGAGTGATGCCATGTTTGCAGCGGAAAGGGTGAGAATAATACTGTTGAGTAAATCATGTACATTTTGCACACTCTGAGATGTTTGGTTTGTCATGGGTCTGTCATTTTTTTATCTTCCAGGCCCCTGATTGGGTGGATGCAGAGGACTGTCACAGATGTAGGGTTCAGTTTGGTGTTATGACCCGAAAGGTATATACCACTCCTTTGAAAATCTACTATCCTTAGTTATATAATGTTTATGAAGTACTCTATCTAAGTCAATGTTATGATGCATAACTGCTGCGCATTTTCGCAGAAACCATATGGCCCTAGAAATGTAACCACACTTTCAATAACATTTCGGCTTGCCCTGTGTGTTGTTTGAACGAGTTGCAGGGGTGACATCTAGGCTTGCAGCGATAGACGGTGCTGACGGTGTTAAGCCGCAACGCATAGTGCAATTTAAAAGCAAAAATACCTGATTCATTTTCAAATGTCAGTAAAAATAAGATGACAAGCTGTGAAACTTTTTAAAAGAAAAACAATCACTTATACTCGTTCAGGTCATGTCTTCCCAGAATTCAAGGAGAGTGATGCCATGTTTGCAGCGGAAAGGGTGAGAATAATACTGTTGAGTAAATCATGTACATTTTGCACACTCTGAGATGTTTGGTTTGTCATGGGTCTGTCATTTTTTTATCTTCCAGGCCCCTGATTGGGTGGATGCAGAGGACTGTCACAGATGTAGGGTTCAGTTTGGTGTTATGACCCGAAAGGTATATACCACTCCTTTGAAAATCTACTATCCTTAGTTATATAATGTTTATGAAGTACTCTATCTAAGTCAATGTTATGATGCATAACTGCTGGTGGCTCTTCATTCAGCACCACTGCAGGGCATGTGGGCAGATTTTCTGTGGGAAGTGCTCTTCTAAGTACTCTACCATTCCCAAGTGTGGCATTGAGAAGGAGGTGCGTGTGTGTGAGCCCTGCTTCGAGCTTCTCAACAAGTGAGTATATGTGAAAAAGACAAATGCCTACCATTGTGCTGCTCTTTCTGTTATTTGAGAAAGGGAATTCGTGATACCTTACATAGGAATAGTTGACACAAAAATAAAATTTCTATCATTATTTATCCTATATATACTCCATACAGCCAGAGCAGAAATAAATAAAATTTTAAAATAAAACAATTATTTTAAATTGTCATAATATTTCACAATATTACTGTTTTACTATATTTCTGTGATCACAGAATTTAATGCAAAATCCCCCCCCCCACATCTTTTGTCAGAAAATGTCTTTATATCTGTAATATCTTCTTGGAGTTGTCCCTTGGGTTTCTCATGTTCATAAGCCTGCTGACGCCTAGAGATTTACCAGGATGTGTGTGTCTCCCAACCCCTCCTCCTCACCAGCCACCCCTCCCTTTCTCCCCCTCCTAGGAAAGCTGAAGGGAAGGCCACCAGCGCTGGGCAGCCCGAGCTTCCCCCTGAGTACCTGACCAGCCCTTTGTCCCAGCAGTCTCAGGTAGTGCCCACCGAATCAGTAAGTAGTTGCATTTCATAGAGGGCTCACTCTCATGGGCGTCACAATTATGGAGCATACCACCAAACTGATTGAAACGGACAATGAACCAATAGTTTATCATTCATGCCCAAGTTTATTTGGACCTTGAATGCAAAGCAATTTTGAGGCTCATGAGTGAGAGCTCATATTACTGTCTAGTTTGTGTGCTTACTGTCAATCCCACTCCAATCAGTAATAAACACTGTATTTAACGGTGAAGTGTCACTGGTGTGACCAAATAGAATTGCTGAAAAAATGGCTGGCCATTTTAGGAGTAGTTCATTTATGATAATATGATAACAGTTTTATGTTTTTGAAAAAAGTCTGTTAATCAAGGCTGTGTTTATTTGATTGAAAATACAGTAAAAAAAAAACAGTAATATCGTAAAATGTTTTTACAGTTTGAAATAACCATTTTCTATTGTAAAATGTAATATATTCCTGTGATCAAACCTGAATTTGCAGCATCATTACTCAGTGTCACATGATCCTTCAGAAATCATTCTAAAATGATTTGCTGCTCGATAAGTATTTCTTACTATTAGCAATTTTGAGAATGTTTATATTTTTTTTTGATTTTTTTTTTGATGAGTAGAAATATTAAAAGAATATTTATTTGAAATAGAAATCTTTTGTAAAAATATAAATGTCTCTGCTGTCATGTTTGATCAAATTAATGCACCCTTGCTAAATAAAATATTTTTTCTTTCAAAAAATAAAAATAAAATAAATCTTACTGACTCCAGACTTTTGGACAATAGTGTATATTCATAACAGTTAATCAGATTCACACCAATAATAGAGGCAATGTTATGTTGGGCAAACAGACAGATTGCAGGTTCATTTGGTGCTGTTAATAGTGTAGAAATTACACTCTTCACCTTTAAAATAGATGCACAGTATTTCAGTGATCATATCAGTATCAGTGTTGGTGTTTTTTTTCTCCGAATCAGTGCAAGCCAGTGATTTGACCCCTTATTAATTACTGATTATTAATTATTTCTAATTAATCTGTAAAATCCAATATTAGCCAATATTGTATTTAAAAAACATAACACGTAAATAATTGTCAGCCAAAATTTCTATATTTGTGCACTGGTAATATTTAAATTAAAACAAAATGTAATTGAAATGTGTGTAGCTCCCTCTCCTCACCTTCTCGTTGTTTCTTCTTGGCCTCCTCTTGCTGCTCTGCTCCTCAGATGCCTCCTAAGAGAGATGAGGCCGCGCTGCAGGAGGAAGAGGAGCTGCAGCTGGCCATCGCACTGTCTCAGAGTGAGGCCGAGGAGAAGGAGAGAATGGTATGTACACTAACGTCTATAAGCCAGCTGTTCTGTCAGCATAATAAAGGGTTGCATGATGATTGTGTTTGTTTACAGAGACAGAAGAACACTTACTCTGCATACCCCAAAGCCGATCCCACCCCTGTGACTTCCTCTGCCCCTCCTGTCAGCACTCTCTACTCTTCACCTGTGGTAAGAAACATTCATTGAAGTAATTGATTGAAACGCCTTGTCTAAATTTATCTTAGTGGATAAATTGTTTCTCTTTTTACCTTTCAGAACTCATCGGCTCCATCAGCTGAAGATGTGGACCCAGAGGTGAAAAAACAATCATTTTAAAGGAATAGCTCCTCCAAAAATGGTTTGTTTAGGCTACGTCCACATGAAGCCAGAGCTTTCCCTATCCAATATTTTTTTCCCCTCGTCTCAAGAAATATCTGCATCCACACGAAACCACGAGACCGACACAAAACTTTGTAGTTCTGCCACAGAGATACACTAAAAACGGAGAAGAAGACTTGGACTATACGCATAAACCTTGCGCGCGGTATGAACGTGGAACAATACATTTATTAATCTGTGTTAATGTTAGTTAATAAGATGTCAATCGTTCAGTGTTTGTTCATGTTTTTGTTGCTGATACGTGACGTAGTGTTGTCTGACTAGGGGCGAGACGTGGGCTGATGACGTCATCGTTTCAGAAAATATACGGATTCGCTGTCCACACGAAAACGCAAGGGCGGCATTTTCAGATTTATCCACTCGGGGACCCGGTTTCAAAAAATATTGGTTTCACTGTCCCAAAACACCGGATCCGTCTGGACGAAACGCCTATACGATACAAAATGTATGCGTATACAGCTAAAGGCGTCTCCATGTGGACGGTAAGGTTGTGACAGTGAGGAAATTTTCCCACTGGTTAATCGACGTGTGACAACACCGATAATACCGGTATCACCGTGGTGGCAGGGGCGTTCCCTCTTTTTCTCGCTTTCCTTCGTTTTTAAATAGCTTGTAAAAGCGGCGTGCGCATTTTACTTTCTCTTTCAAATAGCGGTAATTCGGCGTAAAGCAATTTATCGTTTTTAGTTCGTTTTAATTTTCCCTCTTTTCCTCGCTTTCCTTCGCTTTTAAATAGCTTAAAAGCGCCGTGCACATTTTACTTTCACTTTCGAATTAGCGGCAGGTCGGCGTCAATTGCTTAAATGCAACAACAAAATACAATGTCATACTCACTTTAGCCTATATATAAAACATATAACTTTTATTAACAAAACAAATAAAAATACACCATGCTATAGGGCAGGCAATGCCTAATATAAAATAACAAATAACTTGCATAAAGTTTAAATAGGTATACAAAACTGGAAATGAGTAAACATGTATAATATATAACCAAATAAATAAGAAAC